AACCTTTGGTGGGAAAAACCCTCCCTCCTTTAGGAATCTGAAAAGTTGGGTTTTTTCCCCACGAAAGCTTATGCCCAAATAAATCTGTTAGTCTTTAAGGTGCCACCAAACTCCTTGTTGTTTTTGGCCTATACAGTCCATCTAAATTAGTGCAACAGTTTTGGCACCCAAGATGGGGTCTAAAGGGTTAATACATACCCAGTAGCTAATAGCTTAGCAAATAAGCAATTGGTTTTTAAAGGTGATTTAAAACAAAAATTTGTTTTAAAATTTTACATGTGTTATTCTAGTTTGCAAAGCGAACCATTAATGCTTTTGTTTTTTAAAAGGTTTTTTTTTAAGTTATAAATTCTTTTACATTTTTTTAACAAATGCTTTGTTTTGTTTTCTTTTTTCCCCCTTTATTTTAGGGTTTGTAGTTTTTATAAACAGTAAAAACTTTAAAGGTTTAATGTAAAAGTATTTTTAAAAAGGAAAAGTAGGAAAATAATGTTTTAAATTGTTAGATTGCTAAAGCAATCTTTTACTAAAATGACATCTTAAATGACCGCCTTCTTGTTAACAAAATGCCAACTTAATTAAAAGCTGCTACAGCATTAACTATGCATTAAATCTCAAACTACCAAAAGCTATTGCAACACCAAACTTTTTTTTGTAATTTTTGTAAAAAAATATCAACCCCAAAGAGCCAGAAGCTGCATTTTCAACCTTTGCTGTTCTTTTCTGTTCCCTTTGTGTGTCTTTGTCGTGTTTTGTCTTCTAGGAAACAGGACTCGACTATAACAGGAACAGCAACAATGATGGCTCCAACCCATCTCAACTAACTTTTTCTCTTCCTTCTGAAATCTCTCTCCAGACAAGAAAAAAGAAAACAGTTGCTGAAATAAGTTTTACTTACTACTCTATATTTAAAATGCTTTAACTGTTTTTCCTTCTTTTCTATATTTTTAATAAAAGGTTAGCAAGCTCTTCAATGGTGTTTGCTATGATACTAAGCAAAGTAATGTCTCTGTATACCAAACCTTGCTTAACACTGTTTAATGTTAAACAGTGACGGGGTGATATTAACACCTTTGGCCCATATAGACCATCTAAATTAATGCAATAGACCTCACCAAATGCTTTGGCATTTGGTCTTTTCAGAGACCCCTAGCTCAGAGGGGATCAAACGAGGCTGCTACTTCCCCCATGGGATCCTGAGTGAGTTCATGCAGCTTGGAAAGGAATCCAAGGTTCAAGATGTTGGTCTAGTCCCCTCAGTGCAGCTTGCCTGGGAACAGTGTTGAATGGAACACTGCAAAATTCTGTGGCAGCTGCTTGCTATCTGCTGGTGTTTGAGGAGGAGGATGGAGGTTCTCATTAATTTATTTCCTCTGTATTTATTTTAGAATTCTCTACATCCATAACAAGCTCCCTACAGTCTGATCCTCTCTCACCACGGTAACAGAGGGTCACTTGGCCTTAAAGAGCTCCTCAGGGACCCTCAGAAAGCTTTGAGGTTAGATTTTCAAAGGTCACTGCTTGCATTTTAAGGGCCATTTTTGAGCCCTTGTGGGGAAGATGACTGACTAACCACCCCACCTAATCAGTGCACATAGGCCAAATTCCAGCCCTTTGTGGGAAGTCTGCATGAGAGGGATTTGCACAGGGGATCGACAAGTAGTCTGGGAAGGACACAGTTGGGATGGAGGGCACCTGCTCATCCAGGCAAGGCTGGGTTAGCAGTCACCTCTTGCTGCACCTTTCCCCCCCGCCCCAGGATTTGGGGCCATTGGATCTGCTCTGTGTTCAGCCTGATTGCCCATGCCCCTGTTGCTTCACCAGCATGCTTACATGCCCCCATGCCACAGTCCCTTGGAAAGAGCCATTTCAGAACAGTACCCTGCAACATGCAGGGCTAAACCACCCCAGAGGTGGCTTCATGTCAGTGGTCAATGCATAAATTGTGTAGGTTTATGAAGTGCTTTGGGATTCTTCACAACACTCTAGAAATCCAAGATCTTATTGTGCCTGTCCCTTTGCCTCATCCCTAGCTGCTTTTTAACAATGTCTGGGACTGTCCTCTGGGCTGTTGTTTTTATCAGTGTTTAAGATGTCTGGGTGTGTCTGTTTCCTGCAGATGTCTCATGAAAAGGAAAGACCCAGCGTCCAAACTTCCCCAATCATCCCCAAACCTCGTGGGGGAAGGGCTCACTACGCGACCTGGGGCTTCATTGTTCTCTGCGTTTTTGCCCTGTATCACATGGAGCAGTCCTGGAACCATGCCGCAGAGAACATCACCTTCTACTTCACGGCCCTGCAGATCGGAGCTCTGCTCAGAGGGGTTTGCAACTTCGTGGAAGAGATTTGGCATGTGCAATCCAGGTGACTGAATTTACAGCTCTCTGCTCTTGAGAGGCACTCTCAGGCTGGCACTTGTAAATGGTCCAGGAAAGAAAGTAAGAGAACTAATCGCTGTGAGGGAGGTGGGCGAATGTAGGTGCATGGTTCCTACTAGCTATACAGGAGCTGTAAAGGAATCCAAAGAAGCATAGGCTTTGCAATCTGGTCTCTGTGGTGGTTTCCCATCTGCCTCACTCTCCTGTCTGTTGATGTCCCTCAGGTTTCTCTACTCAATCCCTCCCTCTTCTCTCTCCCTCTCTCTAGTATCTTGTGCCTTTACTATTGGGAGCAACTCTGCAGATTGCCCATTACCCATAATGCCCAGGCAGGAAGATGCATGACTATTAAGTCACAACTTAGGGCTGTCCCATGCCTATGTCCTACACACCTATTAAAGCCCATGGAATCTACATGGGAGGACATCATCTGAGGGGGTTCTCTCATGTCCTATGTGGGGTCAGGGTTTGCTTCGTCTCTGGCGCAGGTTCACGTCCAAACCCACCAGATCTCAGATGTCCCTGGGTGCCATGTCACCCCAGTGGAGCCAGGCTGCCTGGGCCTGCCCTGGCTGAGGTAAAACCCAGGGCCTCCAGTGCAGAAGGCTCCCCAGCAACGGCACTCCACACTGGGGCTGGATTGCCTTCCCCAGTAAGCTCTACAGTGCTGGTTGGAGAGGCGGTGGGCACTGCCGTAGCTGTTACTTCCCCAGCATGGGCCCACTTGCTCCCTGCTGGCTGAGTCCCCACCCATGTGGACAGTCTTTTATAGGGACCCCCTGGGCTGGGAAGAGAAGAGAATGGAGAGAGGTAAATAGTGATGTCCCCCAGTGGTCTATACTGGGCCCGTCCTATTCAACCTATTCATAAATGATCTGGAACAAGGGGTAAACCGTGAGGTGGCAAAATTTGCAGACGATACAAAATTACTCAAGATGATTAAGTCTCAGGCAGATTGCGAAGAGCTACAAAAGGATCTCACAAAACTGGGCAACAAAATGGCAGATGAAATTCAATGTTGATAAATGCAAAGTAATGCACATTGGAAAATATATTCCCAACTATACATACCATATGATGAGATCTAAATTAGCTGTTACCACTCAAGAAAGAGATCTTGGAATCATTGTGGATAGTTCTCTGAAAACATCCACTCAATGTGCAGTGGCAGTCAAAAAAGCAAACAGAATGATAGGAATCATTAAGAAAGGAATAGATAATATGACAGAAAATATAATATTGTCTCTATATAAATCCATGTTATGCCCACATCTTGTATACTGCATGCAGATGTGGTCATCCTGTCTCAAAAAGATACATTGGAATTTGAAAAGGTTCAGAAAAGAGTAACAAAAATGATTAGGGGTCGAGAACGGCTTCCGTAGGAGGAGTGATTAATAAGATTGGGACTTTTCAGCTTGTAAAAGAGATGACTAAGGGGGATATGATAGAGGTCTATAAAATCATGACTGGTGTGGAGAAAGTAAATAAGGAAGTGTTTTTACTCCTTCTCAGAACACAAGAATTAGGGGCCACCAAATGAAATTAATAGGCAGCAGATTTAAAACAAACAAAAGGAAGTATTTTTTTCACACAATGCCACAGTCAACCTGTGGAACTTGTTGCCAGAGGATGTTGTGAAGGCCAAGACTATAACAGGGTTAAAAAAAAAGAGATAAGTTCATGGAGGATAGGTCCACCAATGGCTATTAGCCAGGATGGGCAGGGATGGTGTCCCTAGCCTCTGTTTGCCAGAAGCTGGGAATGGGTGACAGGGGATGGATCACTTGATGATTACCGTTTCTGTTCATTCCCTCTGAAGCACCTGGCATTTGTCACTGTCGGAAAACAGGATACTGGGCTAGATGGACCTTTGGTCTGACCCAGTATGGCCGTTCTTATGTTCTTATCAATGCAGTGGGGGTCTCTCCTTCTCAGCGCAGGGGTGTGCTGGGCCTGGAGACCCCTCTGCACGCCGATCTGCAGGCGCAGACTGACAGCCCTGTCTTCTTGTTTCCCTTTTCCTCAGACACCGCAGCAGCTGGTGGAGGGTGGTGGTTGCCTGCCTGAGCCCAAGTCTGCGCTGCCACGCGCTCCTGCTGCTGGTCAGCATCTGCGCCTACATAGCCCTGTTCGGCGAGACTGGGCTGCAGCTCTTCCTCAACCTCATCCTCGTCTGCCTCTGCCAGCTCCTCAGCTTCGCCTTTGGGCTTCAGGTAAGGGCAGGACACCCCAGTCCCCAGCAGCCTGGCAATGCGCCCCTCTGCTCCCCAGAGAATCCCCAGCAATCCTGGCAGGCGTAGGCCAGGCCTGCATAACCCAGGCTATGTGGCGCTCTGCCCTCCACTAGTGGACAGGCCACGTATAACATTTTGAGTCCTCTAGCTACACCCTTTGGCTAAGGAGCCTGGGTTCTCTAGTTCACATCATGGACTCATGCTTTAAGGTCCCGAATTCCCCACAAGTGGTGACCCATCCCGAGATGTCTCATTGCAGCTGCACATGGGAATTGCAACAACTGAACCTAATCAGTTTCTCAATCAATGTTGTGAACTCATTGGGACCCCCGCTCTGAAGTGGATTGGAGCACGGTTCATCTCAGTCTAGCTTCATTCGTTGCCTTACAGGAAGAACTATGAGAAGTGGGATGAAACTGAGCAAAGGAAAACTGAGAATGAAGATAGCTCACGTGGCAGGGGCTGTGCTGGGGCTGTGCATCCTGTCTGGGCTGTAAAAATCACCAGCACTAGTAAGCATTCCCACTAGTAATAATAGGAGATGCTTCTTCAGGATGTGATATCTATGGAAGACATTCCTTGGTCCTTTAATCTGGACTGGGGCAAGCACTGAGGATTATGCTGCAGGGAACGATCCTGCATCACAAAAAGGGTGGAGAGCTGAGCTGCTAAGTCAGGCCCATCTCTGATCCCTTGGGAGGTTTAATCTGTTGCAAGGGAGATTCAGGTTAGATATTAGGAAAAGCTTTCTGACTCTAAAGGTAGTTAAGCCCTGGAAGAGGCTTTCAAGGAAGGTTGTGGAATGCCCATCACTGGAGGTTGTTAAGAACAAATTGGACAAACACCTGTCAGGGATGGTCTAGGTTTATTTGGTCCTGCCTCAGCGCAGGGGGCTGGACTTGATGCCCTCTCAAGGTCCCTTCCAGCCCTGCATTTCCATGATTCTAAGATGGAACCTCGCCGTGTTTGCTGATGAACCCTGCCTTGTCTGCACATGCTGCTCTTCTTCCAACTGAATTGTTTTAGAAGCCACGATGCAGCAAAATTCTTTTCATTAGAGCAACCCCATTAATATTTGATATCATCGTCCTGATGCCACCATCCATCTCAGCAGGGAAGCTAGCGAACTACTCAATTCAACTAGCTTTTAATGAGCACTACCACCCCAGGGTTCCAGTACCATCCCCAGCACCCGCAAAACTCCTACTGGCATTAGAACGTTGGCATTTTTAAACCTGGCACTTAAGTGAATGCTTGGGAGGAGAAGTATATTTAGCTGCTGTCTCCAAAGGGTTAAGTAATGGGAGTGCTGCAGGCTTCCAAAGCTGCCCTCTGCTCTCAATAATGCCAGTGTAAAACCAGGTATTTCTAATGACTTCATTAGGGTTACTCTGAATTGACACTCCAGATTCAAGGATTAGAAAACATGCCTTACAATGATAGACTCCAGAAAGCTCAGTCTAGTTATTTTAGCAAAGAGAAGATTAAGTGGTGAGTTGTTTACACTCTATAAGTATCTACATGGGGAACAAATATTTAATAATGGGTTCTTCTTATAGTTTTCGCTGCTAGATTGAAGTTTCAATAGCTGGAGGTTGAAGCTAGACAAATTCAGTCTGGAAATAAAGCATATATTTATAATGGTGAGAGTAATTAACCATTGGAACAATTTACCAAAGGTCATGGTGGATTCTCCATCACTGGCAATTTGTAAACCAAGATTGGGTGTCTTTCTAAAAGATCTGCTCTAGGAATTATCTTGGGGAAGTTCTTTGGCCTGTGTGATACAGGAGGTCAGATTAGTGATCACAATGGTCCCTTCTGGCCTTGGAATCTACGACACCACTAGAACTGAGAGCAGAGTTTGGCCCATGGTGAGAAATAGAGACCCTTACAGAAATTTTGAACTGAGAGGATTTTGGTGTAAAAGGAGGATCTAGGATGCCCAAGGGGTTTGAACACCTACTCTATATAATAAAATTCTGGGATTATCACCAGTCTCTGTGTCACACTGAAATTTAGACTCTCTGTTGAGTCATGGTGAAGTGATGGACACAGCTACAAACATGGTTGAGAGTTCTTTTGTTTAGAATATCACCAGGTTCAATCGCCACTGGGATTCACCATCTGTTACCATCCAAGTTTTAAATTCTAGACCATTTTGACTTCTCAGACTTCACCCCTGCAACAGCAAGACATGTATTTATGCCATGCCAAAAGTCCTAGGCCATGGTGATATCAGAGGTAACTCAGCCAATCACCACCCTTATTCTACAGCTAATTTGCATGCAGTAATTTCATGGGTTGTAGAGGTAGACTGTGCAGATGATAGATCACGTGGCTCAGCTGCCACACCTGTGTGACAGCATGGGCTTCCAGCCACTGGTCCACACCAGAGGCTTTGAGCATCTCAAGCAGGGCATTTGCAGGCTGGATTTCTGGGCTGTATTCCCAACTGTGCCACTGAAGCCTTAGGCCTCATAGTGGTGTATAGCAGACCTGGAAGTTACACATGTGTGTGTGATCAGAATCGGGCCTACTCTTTGATTTGTGGTAAGACATTTTAACCCTAGTGGACCACCCTTTCCTCATCTGTTAAGGGAAGATGATGATTGACCTGCCTTGTAGGGCTGCTGTGGGAGTTGAGTAGGGTTGGGTTTATAAAGCTCTTTGAGGAGCTCTAGACCTGCAGTGTACGGCTCATGCAAGGGAAAGCATGGCTGCTTGGCTTTCAGGTGTATTCAGAGAGACAGCAGGAGACACAGTCACCAGTGGGTGTGGGAGGAAATCCCGCTTAGCTTGTAAGATGGTTTAGTTATGGCATTTCTTCCTTCAATCTGTAGAGTCCCTCTGCAGTGGAAATGTCTGAAATCTGTGAAAAGAACAACTGCAACGTAGCACATGGACTAGCGTGGTCTTACTATGTGGGGTATTTAAAGTTAGTTCTGCCACGTAAGTAGTTGTTTCCCTGTTTGTATGGGAATACAAAATCCTTTGTAATAAAACTCCTCCTTTGTACACGTTAAGGGGGAGCCAATTAGTCAGTCAGAAAGCTGCTACTCTCACTTCATTTGTCTCTGCTCCATGTTCTCTTCCTCTAAGGCCTTAAAGATTTGATCAGTGAGTTCAACAGAGCCAATAACAATTTGCTGAAGTGCAAGGAGACCTGGAAATTGCACATCCTTCTCCCAATGAGCTGTGAGATATACGATGACCTGCAGAAGGCTGACAGCCACATCCAGTACTGGAAGGATCTCCCGGCGCTGCAGCTGGACCGTGCTGGCACTAAATGGAGAAGCTACAAACAAAGCATCTATACAATTTTGGGTGAAGACAAAAAGGTACATTTATCATCATGCTTCTCTAGCTGAAGGGCCACGGGAAGGACGGATGTGAGCAGAAACGGGTCTGGTACACAAAGTTTAGCTGTGGATCCAAATTCCCCCAAGGGTTGAGAAATTCAGGTGCTGGATTTTGGCTTGGGCCCATCTCTAGCCAGGAGACATGAAGAGTGTAAAGGTGGGGCTCCAAGATAGGGCTGTAGAGCCTCCAAAGGGCCAGTTCAGAACAGCATCCAGCAGTTGGGATGAAGAGAAGCACATGCCTTTGCACAGCCCTGGGATTCACACAAGGCCTTTCCTTGCAGCCATAAACCTCTGCAGGAAAATCCCAGTTTACTTAGCTGAATGCAAAGCTCCTGTCTGCACTAAATCCAGCTACAACCCAGGAGCAGCACTGACCCTGTTGTATTGGCAGCAAAAACAGCCTTGGGCATATACCCCTATGCAGTAGGATAAGGCCTTCCTGTTCCAGCCTCCCTCCAACCCCCAATATACACACTGTCAGCTTGATCACCGTCCCTGATTCCCTCTCCCTATTCCCATTTGTCTCTGCCACTATCAGGCCGTGGCAGACACTGAAGTGCCTTGTCCCTCTGCCCGCTTGGACAGCAGAGTGCTGACTGCACCAGTCCAGTTGCCCAGCGTAGAGGCAGACCCACCCCCATGCTTGTGAGCAGGCAAAGAAAGCAGCTGTGGGGAGTCTCTTGGCTGCCCAGAGGCAGCAGGGCCAGGGTCCAGTGGGGAGGGAGCTGGGGTGGTCCTTGCATGGGCACACAAGGCCCTCAAAAGCTTAGGTCTGACCCTGCTTGGCAGTGCTCTGGCAGCTGCTGTGTTGTGCATAGGAGGGGGCCACCAAAGGGTTCAGCCAGCAGCGCTGGGATTCCCGGGGGCCAGCCGCCTGGGGAGGGATGCCTTAGCCGTGGTCTCAGGACTGCTGGGGTAATGCCCAGGTTTCTCCCTCTCCCGTCCCTCTAGTTGAATTACTGCATTGTGGAGTATGCCCCCCCGCTGCAGTCCCTCTACGCTATGTCCCAGGATGAAAGCGCCGCCTTTGGCCGGGAGGATCGCCTGGAGCAAGCCCAGCTCTTCTGTAGGACCTTGGGGGAGATCTTACAACGCTCCAAGGAATGCGCGGGCTGCTACCGGCTCATTGTGTATGAGGGTGAGGAGTTGGGGGACTGCACAAGGGGAGAAGTGCTGGGGTTTTCTCCACGCCCTGATCCTCAGGCACAGGAGTTCACTGCGGCCTCTGGCGCACGCCCAGCACGGCAGTTAGTATCAGGATTATACCATCATCTCATTGGTGCTCTCTGGTGTCACTGTGCTGGGTAAGAGTGGCTCAGGGTCCCCATCATAGGTCACGTGGGCCCTTTAATGCACATGGGCTCCTGTGGCATGGGTGGCTGGGTCCTCTCACACCACAGCCCCTTGGGCCATGGGGAGGTTTCTGTAGTGCACTGGGGACCTTTCATGTGCAAGGCCTCCTGATTAATGGGGTCCCTGATGCCCCTCCCCAGGCTCTAAGACAGGGGGATCCCAAAACACAGCCACTATCCCTCAGATGCTGTGGGGTAGGAAAGTCCCATTTAGCCAGTTTTGCCCTCTGCCTGTTTCTCCTGAGTTTGCTGGAACTGGATGACAAAACCCCAGCAGGGCTTCCTGAAAAAACACTTGGAGAGGAACATTTCTCATTTTGCTCAAATTTTGAGTGAAAATTTTCCATTTTTTTTAGTTTTGTTTTGGTGGGGGGGAAAACACACCCACTCACTCTCACTCTTTCACTTTTCTCCACTGGAGAAAGGGTGGGAAAAGTTTAAGAAGTGTGAGAATGGGTTTTTTTCCCCCCTACTTTCTCTCGTTTTTTTGTGTGTATTCCCCCGTTTTCCACTGGGGAAAAAATGTAAAACTGGGGGAGGGGGCAGGGGTTCCTACCAAAATGAAAATTCTCAACAAGATTCAAAAAATTCTTTTTGAAATTCATTGATAAATGAAATGTTTCCACCTTTTGGAGCATGGGAGAGAGAAATTTTTCATTTTGGTCAAAAGGTGTTTTCTTTCCCCTCCCCCTGAAATGTTTGGATGGAAGAGCATCCAGCAGCTTTACATTTCACCCTTTCTTCCAACAATCAGCAAGTCCAATGCCAGACACCTAGCTGCATTGGCAGCTGCAAGGCTTGAACCTGTGAATTTTAGGTTAGCTTATATTGTATGAAGCTCCTGGACCTCTAGCTGTGGCCTGGCTGCCACTAGAGTGGCCCACTGAGTAGGTGTAAGATGCATGGGCAGCAATGGTACCTCTTCTTGCTGAAGGGTTTGGAGACTCTGCTTGCTGGAGACTCAGCTTGCCTTGGATTCCAGCCCATTGAAGCTGGTGGGGTTGTTTTCTGTTTTATTTTCCAGAGTCGGGAGACAGCGACAGCCATTTTCTGTCAAAGGAGATCCTAAAGCACATCAGACAGCAGCACTTGGAGGAATACACCATGTGTGAGGGGAATCACGAGTCCAGCACCTTCCTCTCAACAGAGCCCAATATCCTGATCAGTGACTCGGAGCTACCCGGGCCTCTGCGGAGCGATGGCTTCTGAAACCTGCGGATGGGACTGGCAGGTTACTCCCTCTTCAAGCATACAAAGAGAGAGGACTAAGACAGTCAGGGCCATCCTTAGGCATATGCAGCATACACGGCTGTGTAGAGCACCCTAAAAATTGGGGTACCCCTGGGTCTTAGTGTCCACCCTTCCACCTTTTCCTATCCCTGTTCTGACCCTTCCTGCAGGCTCCCACCACAGCTAGCTGCTGCAGCCTGGTGAGTCTTCCTCCTGAGGGGATCTAGTACTTAAAAGTGAAGAAGCCTCCAGCCTGCCAGACCTATTAGCACAACATTGAAACTGTTAAAGAGTGGTACTGAAGCCATTTAACAGGCATTTGCCAACCCCCAGGTATATACTGTCAGTTTCTGAATTTACTGACAAAAACAGTTGTGCATTACTGTAATATTTACTCAGAACATGTCAGTCTTCAGGACCTTAGTTTAAAATTTTCTTTAAAAATATTTCATTTAGTGAGTTGTGAAGATTATAAAATCACATCTCTAAAAAAATCCTTGCATAGATTTTTAAATGCACAATTTGAGTATTCATCTTTAGCCTTAAATGCTTGGATCTTCAGACATATTTTTTAAGTAAATCCTTCAAAAGACCACCCTTCTCTAAAATACACATTTTAATTTTAATTGCTATAGTACAAAAAACATGCTTCCAAAGTCTTCTTGTCCTTTCTGTCCATCCCTTTCTCCCTTCACC